CACATGTGACATGGAGCTTTGGTATTTCCCTTCTGTTCATGGTATCGAAGAAGCGAAGTCAAACAATGGAGGCATCCAGACTGCCCGCATCCCAGAGTCACAGGTTTCAGCATTACTGATTTGCTGGAATGCAAAATACGGTAATTAGGCAGTGTTATGTTTTTTAACAAATATCACGACAAATTCAGCCTCATCTCAGTTAAGATATACAGTGAACTGAGAAACAACATCTAACCCTACTCATTTCACTTCTGTTCTTAGGGTCTCACGTATTTCTCTCGTATACCATGTGGCACAAAATTTTTGCCCGCAAGAAAAACCAATCTGTCTTTAAACGCAGAAAATTAGTTCCCACAAAACACAAAAAATCACCAATCTGCAAAAATTAATTTGCGCAAAAATTTTGTGCCACATGGTATTTCACTCTGGCTCTAGACTGCAGTCCCGCCTGCAGGACAGGGGTCTCCTGCTGTTTCACTCTTGTGATAAGGGCGGAAAATAGGATCGGACAAGGTAAACAATACACTCTCTACTTGGAATCACATGGGGTCGACACCAACTTTGGTTTTTATTTTTTAATATTGTAATGTGGGGTTGGTTACTTTTGTGTAGAATCGCTGCTTATGGTTACCGGTAATAAGAGCTTTGGACTCCCTTCCTGTACTTTCTGAATGCTTGGATCAGGCTATTTGCTTGATTGTTTATAATCTAAATCCAGGGTGTTCACTAATAGCGGAGCTCCACTGCTAAGATAAATTGGTATCCTATGAAAGCAAGAAAATTTGGTTATGACATAGCGTACGAACGCCGACCGTCCGTACACCCACTGCTTGTAAGTGGATGCCAAATGTCTGGTTATTTTGGCTTGAAAGCGTATGGCTATCCTCGTTTTGTGAAGCAGAGACAACTAAAGAGTCAATAAAGTGGACATTGTTTCTGTACCCTGTTGTATTAAGTTTAGATTAATTGTTATGTCCACAAATGTAGAAAATAGAGAAAGAGAAAGACAGAGAAAAAGAGAAAGTAAGGCTATAGGCCAGTGAAGCTCAATGAGAAAAAGAGCTAGAGCGAGATAGAAGAAGCAAAGGAGAAATTTTTTGTGGAGGAACAACATGAAATTTTGTAGCGGCGGCGATAGGATGAGAAATGCTGGCGGCCACCTGGGTGAAAATAAACAACAGTGGAAAGTGAACAAGAACACGTACGACATTTCCTCCATAAAACGTGTAACCAGGAAGCTTCTGGAAGTTTCACGTTGTAGTAGTTCAAAACAACGGCAGAGAAATGTACAAAGAAAGTGTGCTGCACATGCGAACTTGCTTTTTTGCTAATTAGACCTATTTTTGTTTTTTCACAGTTCTCGTTGCCTTAACCACTTAGCATAACACGATTTTACATTTTGTTTGAGCAAACTATAAATATTATCAGGAGCTTCGCTTTTAGCCCTGGCTAAACCTACATTTTTTGTACATGTTGATACAGCAATAATGTATGTGTGAACTAGATCAACCCTGAAATAAAAAATTAAACAAGCTTAAACTGTAAGGAGTTACATTGTGCAATGTATACTTTAAAGTAAGAAACAATACAAATAAGGAAATGAATCATGATTCATATTAAGGACAGAAAAATGTAGAAACAAAAGTTGTGTGCAATTTGAGCCGTGTTTGGCTTGTTTTACTGTGGATTTGACTGATTTCCACAACTGCAGGGTTACTTTGCTTTGCTTTCTTCTT